GGTCGATTAGGACATATTTGTCGGACAGGTCTTTACAGGGTGGTCTGTTCAAGATTCAGTGAACACCACTGAGTGCCCTCCCCAAGCCGATTCGCGCCGGATTTTTCTTCTCTATTTCCCTTTCCTTTTATTTTTGATGGTTAGATATGTTTTATGGGAAACAGGCTATTGGCCTTTGTCGTAGGACATTCCCATTTAGATATTCCACACGTCGTGTCTTATGCTGGCTAAAGGTTACAATTATTCCAGAACAGCAATGCCCCTTCAAGTGCGCAGCGACGGCCACGTTCTATAGAGGCATGTAGCCACGTTCTCCTTATCTCAGGGATATGGTGCTCCGGATCATGGAAATAATGTTATCGCGTCTTGAACAGGGCACGTCGTGTGCATGGGCTCCTCATCGGAGTGGTGGAGGGGGTCCTATTATAGTGGTCACAGGAGGGTCTCAATTGGCCTTGCGAGAAATATAAACGTGAGGAAGAATGAGTGGGAATTGTATCCGTCCCCATCCTGTCCGCTCATCACTCGATGGAAATGGAGTTGAGATGCCGTGCTTGAGTTAATGGTGGAAAGAGGAAGGGTGTCATATGTGAAAAAGCGACACTGTTTGGCTCGGAGGGAGCATTTTGCTCGTTCGCATCGATCACTGCTGATGCCTCCTGTGAAGAACTGTGAACTCCTGTAAAGCTACGCAATAGCACAAGCTAGATTCACATTTGACGACAGTTTACAAGATCCACCAAGTTGAGACGCGTAGTTTCAGAGGAACTAGCAACAAAAACTAGTGATATCAAAATGCCCCTCCCAAGCCGAATAGTGCCTGAAAGAGGTTGTGGCGTACCATACCATTGAGAGCAGTGTGCTTCCCAGAAGAACAGTGATGGACGAAGAGACTCTATCTTTCAAAGAATTCTGAAATCCTGGATTTCGGTGCGTATATGAGAGTTCCCTCTGAGAAGCACTCCGAAGCCTTTGATTTCAATTTGAGACCCGAAAGTGCAAGTTGTTTCCAAGTGAGATTAGAGTGCCAGGGAAATTGTTTATGCCGCACCAGTGAGTGATTGTAATAAGCGCGCATATGATGCATCGGATTTCGCATAATCTACCAACACCTCGACAACTGTTCTATCGGTCCCTGATCGTCAACGCGCTCCGTGTCACGAGAAAGGGCACGGACACTGATTCGGCGATATCTCTGAGGGATTGATGCGGAAAAAAAGCTCAAAGAACCCGACAAAAGGCGTGCATGCGCTAGAGACAAGCGCTAGAGGAGGCCATAGTCAGAGCAAAACTCAAAAGCAAGGGCATATGCTCAAACTAAGAGCGGCGCCTGAGAAACATACGTATCAAATTTCAAAGTTTTAAGGATTTTTTCAGAAGGGCGGGGTGACTAGAAAGTCGAAAATAGGAGGACGAGTGCACTAGCCAGACTAGTCACTATGGGGTTGCCGGCATGAGCCGCAATTTTATCCTGGTTCCCACCCTGCATTAATTAACATTTCTTGAACGCATTAGTATACAATCGGACTTATTGGACAAAGTGTTGATGGTGCTATATTTGGTACTGGGGAGGGGGGCATATTGCACCTTCGCACATTTACACGTCTAATGCTAAGACCAGAAGGCTTTTGTCAAGTGTTGGAAAGCACATTCTAGTTCTTAATCTTACAGGAATTCACATCTCTCGACGTAGTGAAATCGGCAGTGATCAACTAGAACCACCAGGATGCCTTCACCAAGCAGATCCGCGCCGTGTTGGCATTGCTCCAGGGCCCCATCACGGGCCACGGGTGGAAGGATTCCTCACTGAGAAAACGTCACGGATCTTCCCCCGTTACGGACCTATAACACAACTCTATAGGGTGCAGCATCGCGATGGTGGATGTAGCGGTGTCAGACGCCCTTCCTCCCTAATTCTTCCTATATGACGACCCCATTTCCCCCTTACCTATCATCTCCCTGCTTAGTTTTCTCAAATTTCTACCATTCTTTTCACGTTTAAAAAAAAGCTTTCAGTTTTGAGGGGGAGGCACGGTTGTCGCCAGGAGGGTACTACTTTCAACTATCCAAAGTGGCAGTTGTACAGAACTTTGAAGGGGCCGGGGCTACGGGTAGATAAGAGATATGAACCTTCCAGGCAACCCTGGTTCTAACTGCTTGACCTGAAAAGCATTGGGGCGGCCTAATTCCCTTTGAGGAATTCTATCAGGGGTTTGGTCCACGAATTAAGGTCTTGGCAAAAGTAGACCTAGTAATCACATTATCTCTGCGTTTACTAAAGTGACTCCCCCTAACTGTGTATTTAGTCTAAGATAGCATGCGTGGATCAAGCGAGCCATGACGCAAAGCCTTGAATCCTCCAGTCCAACACGAATAAGCTACTCTCTGGAAAACCTCTGATTCATCAGCTAGATGGGATTCGATCGTCCTACCGTGTATGCGGCCACGACGCCCCACGCCACTGCCGCATCTGAGCTCTATCCGAAATTAATACCACAACAAGCCTGGTTCCATCTAGCGCTCACTCTGTTGTAACATGAGTTCCCTTATTGAAAGTACTCTACTGCAATCGACGTTGTTCAAGTAAATATTGGTCGAGTTACATGAGTGAGTCCTCAAGTAGTCATTAGGGTCATAACAGTAACGACCCTTGCACCTGTAAGGTGCGAGGGACTACGGTAAAATGATGGCATGGATGTATAAAAAGTACAATTCGGCTTGGTGGGAGCATCTTATTGATTCCCACCCACACTGTCGACGCCTCTTGTAGATACCTGTAAACTCCTGTAAAGCTATGCAATAGCATCTTGACAAGAGTCTACAGTTCCTTACCAAGGGGAAACGAGTAATTAAACAGAATCTAGCAACAGGAACTAGCGAAAGTGCAAAGTGCCTCCCCCCCCCCAATACCGAACAACGCCTACATTAAGAAATAGGCTCATTAATCAAGGGGATTAAAGACGCACTGCAACAGTGCCGGGGAATTTTCCTTGAACATTTCACCTTGGGGGGAAGGAGAACGATTTTCATTGATAACCCTTCAATGAAAGATGCGAGAAATTCTCTGTCCGCTTCCGCCTGGCAATCAGCCAAATCTGGCCGTAACTCATCATAAAGTCCACTGCATGAAGTACTGTGCATCTGTGGCGGTTAAGACTGTGATCGTTAGGGGCTTCTGCCGACGGCCCGGTCTACGGTGTCTGGCCAACAGCCGGTCGATGGCGTAACCGCTTTCATGACACGAGATGCCATAACAGATCACACAACGCTGCGAACATTTGCCACCGCAACCGAACAGACCTCTACGCTAACGGCCAGGTCAAGCAACAGTGGACCAAGTGGTTGGCACTATACATTGAATGCGGAGGGGTTGGTAAATAATGGACCCTATAGGGAGAAGTCTCGGCGCTGTTCGGAAAGGGGGGATGGATGTTCTGCACTTTCGCCAGACTCTTTTGTTAGCTCCTGTTAACTTGCACGTTTCACCTTGGTTAGACTTGTAAACTCTTACCAAGTGTAAGTGTAAACAAAGCTCTTGCTGTAGCATAGTTCCACAGAAATTCACAGGTTTTAACAGGAGACATCAAAACTGATTTATGTAAATCAGCGAAATGCCCCCACCAAACTGAAGTGCGCCGAAGTCCTCATCGTGTAATAGAACATCTGGCACCTTCACTGATCTTTTTCAGTTTCATTAATGATGTGTCGGGCTCTAAAATCAAGTAATAATTTTTATTCTGATTTTCATAGAAGTTTTTTCCAGGAGTCTCTGACCACTTATTTGGAATGGAAACTGAACGAAGAGCTGCACATTGTGAATAAGACTCGTGCAAGTGAAATAGAATCGATTCGG